AATGAGGTGGATACTCGAATGTACCCTACAAGTTGAGGTGTTAATTCTGGTTATAAAGTATCAATGATTACTATTTGTTATCAAGATTAGCATTAAAAATAGAGGGAGTGTGTTTCCGTTTTGAAAGGAACTTAGAGTGGATATGATCGAGATCGTTTTGTCAGAATTTGTTAAAAGAATGATGCAAGAAAACGCTACTTTTTACGAGGCCTTTGCCCGGGATCTAAAGGCCTTGGGTGACGAGTGGTGTATGCTTTTAGAGTGATTCCTCAGCTTTGCATTGCGCATCCTGTACTGCATAAAAAAATTACGTAATCAAGCGAATACGCTTGCGCGCATTTTAAGAACAACTTATTGTTTTTCAATCCATGGACCACGTAAGGAGGTAAGATGGTTTTCCGCTCTTGAACGAACATTGTTACATATATTTGTTATTGCATCATTTTTGTGTTCAAATCATCCCCTCTTAAATGGAGAAATTAAAGCAAAATGTATCGACGGGAAAATAGCTATAGCTAAAAGTGTGCACGAAGCCCGTTACGCGATGATGCAAAATCAAGACCTCGAAAGCAACGACTCGTTTTGAGTCGATGTCGTTTAAAACTGCGAAATATTTCCCCAAATAATATTTCAATGTTTTAACCTTTCCACCTATCAAGTTTTTTCCAAGAGTTAATTTAAAAAACCCTCGCTTCCAGCCACCGCAAAATATACCAAGAACCGATGAAAAGATGCGCGTGATTAGTGCCAGTACAGACACAAATGGGGTAAGATTGGCCCATCATATCTCTATTTTTCGAAATAGACATGGGTAGGGAATACTTAAAGAAAGTTTAACAAAAATTGTTCCATAACCTTTTTTTTTCTTAGGAGTTACCTTAATTTGAGAACGATTTATTTCTTATATATTTCGTTTAATTGTTAAAGAGAGGGGTATTTATCATGTTAAAAAAGTATATTTGACAACAGCTTTTGACACAACTTTGTGGCCTGCCCAGGATAGTAAGTTTTAAATACACCTAAGTATATGGCGCTGAGTAATGTTAATCATTTATTTTTTAGGTTAAACTTACTTCTTCTAACACATCTTCGTTCACATTCTGCTTTTGATCGAAAGTTGTTAGCATTTCCTCGGCACCCGCCATAAATGAACATTTGGCACCTTCCAGTCGCCCTGTTATAGTACCATCTTCGCATTGCAGCTCGGCAAGGGCCAGTGACTTTTGGAAGGTTGCAAACTCCTCCTTTTAAGNCATGCTCGTCGTTGTATTGTTCCCACTATAGAGCCCAACTGTCTAAACCCGGCTGTTATCACGTGACTTCGACGTCCTGCCGCTATTTGTAAGAGCTGTCCTCTGTTGTATCTCCGACCGATTCCAACCGCATAACATTTGATTTTTTTTCGTCGGAACAAATTGGCTGGAGACACCACATTGTCAAATGATCTTCCATCAGTCATTACTATAGCAACCTAGGGACAAAAGGTCAAACTCGCGTTCAGCTATGAGAGTTAAGACATCCGGTTTTGCTGCAGATTTGAAGTAATGTAAATGATTTAGACGGTCAAAAAAGTTTAGATATATACCTTACGAACACCTCTCCGTGCATATCGGAACACCCGCCTATAACAGTACCGCATGGCATATCCAGTCTTCGTACCACCCCTGGGGTATCGTATGCGATGGATGGCATTTAGGATCTGCCCTTTGGAACGATAACGTCTAAAGTCGAAGATCAAACGAGGCCTGGACGAGTACAGTACGACTCCTACTCGGGTTTGCCCGCCTCTGAAGTTAAAGCGGCTGACAATGGCTTTAACAAAGTTGAGACATCGCCTGAAGTTCCCTCTGCCATAAGCCTCGATGCTTCCTGAACCATCGATGATGAAGGCCAAATCGACCCGGGCACGGCACGCTGAAATTTGATATAAACACACCCGTAAACACTCCCATACAGTGTCTAGTGGCGGTTCCAAGTTCAAGATTTTAGAATGACCTTTTAATGTAAAAGAACTCTCTTGGATCAATAGGTGAGTCGGTTAGGTATCATATCCATTTAAGATAAAGTAATCTTTTTTTGTCATTTGATAAGCCTGTCTATCCCGTTGCCTCAACATTTTATTCTAATTATTTGTACTGCTGACCACTAACCTTAAGTAACACCTAAAAATCGGAAAAATGCTGGTTCAGTCCTTTTGAAAAAAAGGGAGTGGAGCATTGGAACGGCATGACTGAGGAAAAAAGTCCCCTGGGAAAAACGGAACGCTACCACTTTGCTACCATGGATTCACTTTATTTGTTTATGGTAATGAGGTGGCCTTTGAATCTTTCAAATGTTTAACCACATTTAATTTAAGTAACAACAGCCCTTAAAACTTACTTCTCGAAGGCCTTGGTCTTGAAGGGCGACGTCCTGCCAGCAAAATACGGGAATTTTCAATTCAGATCTTATTTTCACGTTTGTCATCCCTCAGCGAAATGGTTATTATCACTGCATGTTTGTCTCTTGGTTTACTGGCCACTTTTAAATTACCATTTTTACAATAAACAAGCAAGTAAAGAATTGGCTGGCTCTGAGAATCCTACAGGAATACACCTCGCTAATACACAGCAGCTGCATAGTTGGTATACCAGAGTAAATGAAACCACAAAGTAGATAAGAACACACTTCCATCTTGAGATTCTTCCAGCGAGTGAATTTAGGATGGACATCTTCATCCCGACTGCAATACAGGAACTTTAAAGCGAGTTCCGCTGATAGTAACTTCTTGTTAAGCCTTTGAAATGTTACTATCAGCAGAACTCGCTTTAAAGTTCCTGTATCGCTGTCGCGATGAAGATGCCCATCCTAACACACTTCCACTCTAACGCTTCCTTCAAACTTCAAGTAAACCGTCTCTTAAACATGTACCTTCTAATGGAACAAAAGTGCTGTGTGTAAAACATCCATAACAGAAACCTAAATACCAGAAAGTTAATTAGGAAAAAAATACAAATTTACCCCCAGACAGTGGAATGCGGATCTTTACGTAGCTTGGGCCTCGTCTCTGATGGCGACTCATCGATCGGATCCAATATGGCCTGCGACCCACATAGCCACACCC